CGATTGTCATGAATTCATCACTGTTCCCTTTATAGAAATCATGTACATCAGGTGTCGCCTTCCTGCCTTTTTTATAATAGCAACAAACAAAGCAAAACAACCTTTATTTTCCCTAGACTAAACTAACCTGTTCTTTCAGTATCTGCTCCTAGATCATGTCACCTTCTTTATCGTCTCCCTGGCACACACTCCAGATTGTCTTTCTCTTTTTTAGAAGGGTGATCCCCAATTGGAAATAGTTCTCCAGCTGAATGTTTACCTGTACCAAATGAACTGAGTAATCACCTCCTCTATCATTCCTGTTCATACACCTGAAAATGAAACCTGCTTTTTAAAAAAAAAATTGCATTACACTACTGACTGATGATTTAATTTTGTGACCTGCTAGACCTTTTTCTCACCCCAAGATCCTTTGTGCCATTTTGCTTCCTAGCCAGTATTGTTTCTTCTGTATTTGACATCTCTCTTATTAGGGTAGAACTTCCATTTTTGTTGTTTCTTTTTCCTGTTTCTTCAATTTGTCAAGACGACTTCAAATTCCAACAAGAGTATTCATGTACATTACCATTAAAATGCTTTTAAAGGAATGCACACGTTACTGTGCATTGACATGGAGAAACGCATGCATATTGGTTGGTGATTGCTGCTAATTCATTTTCCGAATACTCCAGTTCTGTTTCAGTGCAATTTAAATAGGTTCATTTGTACCACCACTGAAGTCATCAAAGTTACCTGAAATGGATGGAGAGTTCCCACAGACTCAGTTAATCACTTCACAGCTTTGGGCAGTACCTCTTTAAACTGTTCCAACTAGATTTACAACAAAACATTTGTTCATTGTCAAAATATATTAGTCGGTAAATATTTTAAAAAAGAAAGGTGTGTATAGATGATTCTTATAAGTCTTCCCTTGAAGTCTCCTTTGCCTCTTAGCCTTACATCTCTTCCAGTAGGAGCTCAGCATCTCTACACCATACACATCCTGAGAACTCCTTTTTCCTTTAGTAGTGTAGTAGGAGAGGAGGGAGTTGCCATAAAGGCCCGTAAAAAGCTTTATAGATTTTATTATTTGGCCCTGTGAATGTCTACTCTTATGTACTACACATCTCCAAGGGTGGAGAGCAAGGTGCAAAATGATACCATTAATCTTTCAAATTAAACACCTCCCTCCTACTACTGCAGCAGTGATGAACATGTCAATCCTGTTCACTATTCACTGAAGTGGCACTTTGCACTTCCCCAAGGACTGGAACTGGTCTCCCAAGGAACAGTGTGAAACACCCGGCTTTTCTTACTTGTTTCTTAAAGCAAATTTGGCAGCTTTCTATCTAAGGGTAACAAGGAAAAGTGTACCAGCAAGACAGGATCTTTTACATTTAAGTTTTCCCTGTCTTTTACAGTTTCACCAGCAAGTAATGGAAATGATAAAAGATTTCCTGTATGAAACCTTCCAAATCTTGGAAGCTGGGCTAGTTGAGGTCTTTATTGCTACTGTCCAGATTACTCCAAATGAATCCCTGTTTATTACTGAAGACAGAAATTTAGAAAAACAAGTTTTCATCAGGGTTAAATAGCCGCCAAAGAAGTTCTTAGACTGGGATATATTCAGGATGATTTTTCAGATCCATATTATGCAGTTAAAAATTACAGTATTGGAACCTGTCAATAAAAGGTTTCCCTATCTTGGGAAAAGTGTTTCTACTTAATGCAAATGAAAATAAATGTTTTCATTCCAAATAATTCTGTGTGCCTCTCAGAGAATGGATGCCTTATAAAAATCCAAGATAGAGCTGCCAAGTCAGGTAATTCACAGAGGTTTAGTGTGAAGATTATTGTGTTTATTTTGGTTTCAGGAAGATATAAACCACTGCTTTGGTCATTTCAATGATGGAAAAGGAGCACAACTTTTATAGTTGTTTTTGCATAAACTCTTAAATCTGCATATTAAAAATACCAAGGACTGAATCTTCAGAACTGTTGTATTTGAGACCTACTTTCAAATAACAGATTCTCAGCATTTTCTGAAAATCATCCCCTTTTCCCAGTTAGATATTTAAACTTATTAGTAATTTTGGAAAATGGAGACCTAAGGAAAAGTGAGTAGATTATTTTCTTTAAATGTAGGGTTTATGTTAAAAGTCAATAGGTGTCCGGGGAGTGTGGATGCCTGCTGCATATTCAGTAAATTATTTTAAACTTACTTGTTCACGTTTCTCAGGGAGTCTTTTTCTCGATTGTTTTTTATAATTTCATCTTTGCTAATCAAGGTACTTGCTGTAAGAGAAAATGAATGTGCTCAAGGATCATTACTAATTAATGTCTGCTTCTAGTGAATGTTCTTAGGATTAGCAGATCAGACCAGATAGTTTTCTAACAAGGTAAAGCACAGCTCTCTTTAGTATTCATTACGCAGAGAGTAAATAAATACTCCTTTTATCTTAAAGTTTATACATTTTAAAGCCAGAAGAGAACACTGTAAAGAAATAGTTGACCACTGGCTGCTGCAGCCGTAAGACTTCACTGAACTGGAACCAGGATCTGTTGTTGAAACGATCTGGATTGTTCACTTTAGAGAAGCATCCACACTGAATTAATAAAATATCTGCTTACGGAGACTGTAAATTTTGTGTGTCTAGACGTCACTAGTAGTAGATTTCATACGCTATTACAGTGTACTCTCTTTAATTTTAACTTTCATGTGCTATCTCTTGTTCTGTTGATGTGTGGCTTGAAGAGTCTGGTTCATCAGACTCTGATTAAGTCATCTTGCCACAGCAGGGTAAGCTTCTCTCTACTGCACATTCTCCACGTTCCTGTGTTTGAGCCGTCTGTGTTAGACTGCAACGTCCTCAGCTTCCTGAATCTGATGAGCTTCAGCACGTGCTCTTTTCTTGCTATTTCCTGACATAAGTTTCAGTGATGATTTTCAGTCAGCTACCTTGTTGTGAAAGTGTGATCACATGCACAAGTCCTCTGGTCTCCACAGCACATGCCAATTGCTTATGTACGCCCTTTGGCAACGTCTCAACTTTGTGGGAACTTTAGGATTATAGTTAAATTATACTAAGGTACGCAGTCTCTGTCACACACACGCATGGAGCTGCCTGTGCCAAGAATTCCTACATTGAATATATACTGGCCCCAAAATTGTCACGGAACCCTCGGTCTCTTTGTCAAGTTACACAAGTCACTCTTATTCAGTGTTTCATTGCAAAATGTGTTTTCTAATTCTCATGTCTTTTACTTGACTTTGTGATGATCCCTATGCCACTGGCAAGTATCTCTGATATACACATTGGAACACTATCAGCACTCATGTACGGACACAGAAATGCTAAATGTAGAGGCCATAGAACTTCCCTAGTCCTACTGATATGCTCTGTTTACCGATCTAAGCACATTACTGTTCATCAGACACAGTATGGCACTAAAGCTAATGTTAAACTCGATTATCCATCATGTCCTTCCAGTCTTTTTCCAGACTCAGTGCTTCCCAGGATTGAGATTTCCCCACATACTGTATACTCTTCGTTTGATGAGTGAGCTTGTATTTGGTTGTACTGGAAGAAATCTTTATTCATTTGTTTGTATGTACTTTCATTGTAAGCAGCCTATTAACTGATCCAGTAACCCTGTAGCAGGGACCTGCATCTTTTCACGATTTATTACCCCTTGAATCGTTGTCTCTTGCAGATTATATTGGTAATTGGTTTATGTTTTCTTTTATGTCATCAATTAAACGATAAAATAACATCCTTGTGCAATCCTACGAGGTACGCACCCACTGAACTAAGACTTCCCATTGAACAATCCTGTTTTGAGACCTCTGAGGCTTGTGTTAACTCTGTTTAGTGTTACGAGCAGGGACTGGCTTCTGAACCGCCTGATCAAAGCAATGTGGTCTACCAGCTAGATGGCTCAGCCAGGCCACAAACCACTAGCATATGTGCTGTGGTCTTTTCTCAGTGTTTTCTAATTAGGGGCACATGTCAACCCTGACCTACACAAGAGAACGGAGTTTGTACTGCCTCACCGTGTGCAACAAGTCTTGTGCTCTCTACCCGTCAGAAAGGGCAAAACTTGACTTAAAATCACTGGAGAATGTTCGTTGTCATTTGTATCTATGCAAAACTCTATTTCCTTTTAAACCTTGAGAGTGATGGAGAAAAAGGGTGATTCAGAATTCATTGCTGCCTCTGACTGAGTAAGATCCCATAGCTTGACTCCTCCATTCAATTCTTGTAATTTTATCTCATTTACAGAAAATCAGGTTTATCCGTCATGATGCTGATAAGTGAACGTGGCCTGAGTGTATTAATTAAACTACAGAAGAAAGCAGACATTCATGTATGGAAATGTATCTAGTGTGGCCTTAACTGACAGCTGAAGTACTTTGAAAAATGAAATTTCCACCGTATTGATCACAATGCTTCCAGCCATTTCAGTTTCATCAACGATTCTAGTTCACTGAAATCAGCCAAGAATTAAATTGGAACAGTAAGGAAGTTGAATAAAAATCTTGGAAGAAAATCGAGTTAATTTTGATTTGGTCTAAATATTATCCTCAAAATCTTAATTTTCTGAATCTCACCTTCCAGTGTGCACAACTGAAATTAATATAGACTTATTATGGTACATAAGGGGATAAAATAATCCCTACTGTGGATCACTTCATAAATAAGTCTTTCTGTTTCTGTGTTAAGATTGTCTCTGCATCAGGTCCATAAGGAAAGCAGACTTGACGCTTTTTTGCCTCATTTTCCTGTGATCCTTTTTGTTATTTAAAGCTCCTGCAATTGTAATCAGAACACTTTAGTAGCTTTTCCACTTTCAAAGTGCATTTTTAACACTATTTTTGTATCTTAATAGATGATCCGAAGGGTGATAGACTGTCTAGGCAGTGCAAAGGCACTTAAAAGGAGATCTGGATATGATAGAGCCACAGCGGTTCTCTGCACAGGCCGATACAGCCTGGTTCTTAGCAGCGATGGTTGCCTGGGAGGAGCACGCTGTTGAGGAGCTTCTGTTGCTTGTTAACCTTCGCTAGATTAGTCTGTTTATGTCACATTGCAATATCTTAACTGCCATTAACTTTGCCACTGTTGCAAATAACATGCAGCATGTTGATAATGTAAATGTGTTTCTCAAGTGGATGTCAGGTGAGCAAAGACTTCAAGTTCGCTTTCGAAGTGCTTTGTCCACAGCTTGCAACTCAATTCAGGGCACAACTGTTGCATTTCCAAAAACAAATGTGACATATTTGTCAGTGGTTTGAGGTTTGGGTTTTTTTGTTGTGGTTTTTTGTTTGTTTGTTTTTGGTGGGGTTTTTTTGTTGTTTTTGTAAGTATACATGACCTGACCTTAATGTTGGCTGTTAGAGCAGGCCCTAAATTAAAATTCTGGCCTCGCTGAAACTCTTATCAGTTTCACTCTTGCCTTCCACAGTCTTCCCATATTCTGATACTGCTGAATTCCGCAGCGGAATCCCTGATTTATTTTATTTATTTTTTTTATTTCATACAAATATTTCAAAAGTCACGGTTCAGATATTTAAAATCCTGTACTTCTGGCATGTTGCAATACAATTTAGAACGTATCTAGGCTCTCTGGCTTTGTTTCTCTGATAGTATACAACAACTCAGCGGGTTGTTGCCATTAACTCATTCATACTTCTGTTTGTCACCAAAAGGTTTCTTTTGTTTCCAGGTTTGGCAAGAAATCTCGACCGGCAATGTATGATGCAACCCCCATTGCTTATGAAGATTACAGTCCAGATGACAAACCTTTGGTTACACTGATTAAGACAAAAGATTTGTAATCTAGTGTATCTTTTTTTGATTATTTTTCAAAAGGATGGGCTACCAACCTAATTTAAATATTTTTAAGAAGAAAGCATAAGTAATTTAAACCATTAGATGCTTCAAAATTTTCTGTAGAATATTTAAGAACCAATTTTCTGCAGCTTTTAGTTTGGAAAAATATTTTGAAACAGAATTTGTGGACTTCATGAATTACATTTTAATGTACCTTGAGCTCTATAAACTATAAGCTTATGATAGTGTGTGCTTTTTTCTTGGTAGACACTATTACTAAAAACCCAGATGAATTTCTTGTGGTTGTTACAGAACAGAAAACAATAATTAATGAGGAGTTCTTTATGACATGTCAGTGCCAGCTTTCTCAGTAGAGGTAGGAAAAATGTGAAGCATAATATGATATATAATATATCCATTAACTAAAAAAAGTCTAAAATGTTTGTGTTGTGAAAGAGAAACTAGTAAAAATTATTATTCCTAATCTGAATGAATTAGCTTTTGCCTTATTCCATGCATGGATAGATAACCTATTTCTCCATTATTTCCTGAAAGTTGCTGAAACATACTCTTGAGTTGATGTTTGACATTTTTGTAATAGTATTCAGGCTAGGCCTTGTATAATAATTGAAGTGCCTCTTGAGGCAAAAAAAGGGCATGATCCTTTAAACACTGAAATCAATAAGAGAACTTCCATTGACTTCAGTGGGCATGGGATTAGATCCTACAATTGGACTGAATCTATATTTTTCTTTAAAGGTTAAAGTTTTTTATATTGTGAGTAAACTAAGCATATGGTTTGAGTCGTTTGTTTCCTAAAGCTTGTTGATGTACAGTATCGTTTCATGAAATATTGTGTATTTCTCATAGTGCTTCTTATTTAGAATCAGTATGGGGGTTTTGTGGCTGTATTTGATTGCTTATGGGCGTCTTAAAATTCTTGCTTATTTCAGAAAGTATTGAATAAATGTTATCAAGTGAAGATTGCAGCTGTTTCTTTTGTTTTTCTTCATTTGAAAGTGCAACGTTGTCTATAAACTTGAAAGAACATGAGCATATAAATAATGCCGAAAGAAGATATTCCAGCTGTTAATTTGAAAAAGAAAAAAATGGACTTTGTTAATAAAGTAATCTCTTAAAAGTGAGACAAATATAGCACGGGAGTAAAGAGTAAAGTCCTGCAGTCCAGGCCATACAAACCACAACCTGTTCCTGAATGGATCTGACTGCAGATCTGTGCTCTAAGTTGTAGCAAGAGTAAGGTTTTGTCACAGAACGACCTGTTTATGTGAGTAGGCTTGACCTGACCTTGTGTTTCAGAGGCTTGCCATTGGGGAAGCCAAGACTGCATGGTATAGAGGCAAATTGCTGTAGGTACCTATAGATCCTGCTGCCTGGTGCTGTGCTAAGTTACACAGTCGGCACCGTTACATTACAGGCTGATAATCACCGAAGGGCTAAGCTCTGGTTGACCTCTTAATGTTGGGAGGTCTTGGAATGCATCCAAAATCTTCATATTTCACATAAATAACATTTCCAGACAGAAAAAAGATGTCCCCAGGAAAACCTAGGCTTCTGGTCACCTCTGTGCGAGGACAGCCGTTGTCTCAGGCAGTCCTTCCCTTTCATTGCCACTGCTGACATCTCAGGCCTCAGATCAGCCACTAGAGACAATGGTAATTAGGAACTGTAAAGATAAGAAACCTGCCACTGGTTTTGCTGTCTTGTTTAGGTGGGCAGAGTGCACCTGGTATATTACTTTTAATTTTGAATTTAATTATTATTACTGCTTCTGGTTACAGTCACAACTACTGAATTATTTTCCACATCTTGCACAATTAGTGCTGACAAGACGTAGGCAAATTATGGTAAATCAAGCTGTTAGTGTTGCTAAAATGTAAATTTTATGTGAGGTTACATTCTAGTTCATAATTAAAAAAAAAAAAAAAAGGAGCGTATATGCAGCAGATACAGGCCAAATCTGAAATGTTGTAGAGAAAAGCAAATGAAAACATCTTTTAGTAGAACCTTTACGTGTTAGAGAGAAGCACTGCTCAAAGAGTCTCTTACTGTTAGGAACGGCTGGGTGGTGAATATGCAGGTTAGTAACACCATGCGGTCTTTGAACTGTGGAAATGCCAAATGCATCTCAGAAATCCAGAGTGTCTTTCCTGACATCCTGTACCTGCTGCCACGGGCTTTCAAGGATGTGGGCCAAGACAATAATTACTAGTGAGAGATCTAAAAAACTAGGTTCAAGCCTCCTTCTCATTCTTCAGGCACAGTTTTCTATGACAAAGTTTGTGCATTTGCATCTGGTGGCTGCCAGACCAGCTTTTTTTATTGGTACGTTTTTCTGCTGCTGCGCTACTCCAGGTGTGGAAACTTTTGTTTATGGTGACTTCCAAGTCACTTCAGGAATGTTTTAAGAATGCCTTGGAAAGAAGGGCCAGGAAGAAGCTGTACCCTTTGCCATTTTTTTGTAACTTGTGTGGAACAGGGACAAATACATTGGTGTTATAATTGATTTGTTAATCAGATAGAAAAGAAATACTTATTCTTCGGAGTTTTCAGCCTTTTCAATGGTAAAATACTGGTTTATCTTTGAAGATCTACAAATCTATATAAAGCATGGAAACAAGCAACTCTTGTTCTAGGGAACATACGTATTCATCGTCTGTGTGTTACCAGAGAGATGTCGCAACGAGCAGCAGCCCTTCTGCATACAAATCACACCTTGGTGGTAATTCCTGACCATCCTATATTTCTCTCAAGTGACTGACCTGAAAGATAAGTAATTTGCGAGGAGCTATTTTCCCGTCAGCTTGCAGACTTTAGCTTCTGTAAATCATCCTGTGCTTCCTGTGAATTGTGCTTTGAAAATTACTTTTGCTCCTTCCAATGTATTTTATTGAACTCCGATGGCATGTTATGCATGCGCTATGCCTGTATTCGTGCACTTCGGAGATACTTGTGAGGCACTGCACTGCCTGCCAGATGGAGCAGCCCTTAGACCTGGAGGGAACAAACCCATCCTGAGTTTTTATGCCAGCTCTGAAGCTGCTGGAACAAGTTGGCTACTGTCTTTATATGCCAGACCATGCCTTTCTGAGGATATACATGAAGGTGGACAAAGGACACTGGTCATTCCATATCCTTTTCCCAAACCAGAGGGGGTTTGTTCTGTATAGGGGTCAAATACAGATGTATAGCAAATACCACCTGCAGTTAATATATTACACATGGGTCTTTTTGCTGTAAAGCATACAGATGCAAAAAGGGGTGATTGTATGTGCTTTTCCCCCTGGCAATGGGTTAACAACCTCCTGCTCCTCCTGCAGATGTGGACAAGTCTCCAGGCTTGTCATTAACCTCCAGTATTTGTGTGCTCTTCAGGTTTGGCCCTTTTTTCTTCCTCTTCCCTCTGGAAATAGGAGAACATCCCTGAGTGTTTTTCCCCCAGCAGCATGGACATCTATTCTTGCATGCTTCTTGGGGTGGTGTGAAACTTGTGGTTACAGCTCAGAGCTGTGATACATGGGCTAACAGGAAAACGTCATTATTTACATGGATTCTGGATGGAGTCAGTCCAAAATGATGAAGACTGTGACCCTGTCCATGTGGTTGGGCTAACTGCAGTATGACATAAATACAAGGCCCAAGGGAACAGTTGAGCACAAGAGCTAGAAAACACATGTTGACTAAAAACATACAAATTATCTCCATTAAAACCTACAGATGCAACCCTGTCTTTAGCTGAGAAACATCGGATCATTGCAACAGCTTCAGCCTCTCTTTGCATCTAGGAGGTCTTTGCCTCTAGGAGGTGCTTTGGGCATTTGCATGCCACCTGTGTGGGCTCCAGAGGTGACATGTTGTCAAACCCTTGGGTGAGAAGCCTTGGTCCCCAACCAGGACCAATTTTCAGTAGCAGACCTTGTACTTGGGAAGAAGCTGGATCTCCATGCTCCCTAACTCTAACACATTTCATCTTCTTCCTAATACATGGTGAAAAATGGTGTTGTTGAGGGGTGCAGGTGCCTTGTGAAGGAGGCGAGGTTTCCCTGCCAGAAAGGAAGGCTGTGTCCCCATCACGGGGGCTCATTGCAGTGTGCTCTGTTGCGATGCACTGCTCCTCGGGCGAGAGGACCTGGCCTTTCTGCCACCGGAGAATGCTGCCAAGTGCAGAGCTATGTGTCTGCTTTGGAGATCCATTCAAAAAACTCCTGATGTGTCGCTGTGCCGGGCGTGCAGTGACAGCCCGGGCCGGGCAGGCGGCAGAGGTGGTGGCACCGCCGTGAGCCCGCACGAGGAACAGGAGGTGGCACTGCCTTCCCCATGGCACTGCCATTGCCCATGGCACTGCTGTCGGCCCCTTGGTTCTTGCCCTCCTGCTATTCCGGTGAAGCAGACAGAGGACAAAAGGCCTGGGGACATGATCCTGACCTGGCTGTGTCCCGGGTAAGTGGCCGATGCAAGCCTGCGGGAACTCCATTTTTGTTCTGTTTACTCTGTTTCTGCTAGCAGATTAATTAAATGTGGGCTCCGAGGGAGCCTAAAGGCCAGGGATGTAGGGAGAGCTCGGGGGAGGCACAGGTGGTTTATGAGTAGTTGGAAGGAGACCTAAGGCACCCCCTGCCATGATTAAACCTGTGTGTTGTCAATCCAGGCTGGGTAACATCCTGCACCAAAACCACCCATCTGATTTTGCTGTTATTCTCTCTACTGCAAACGGAGCCAACTGGCACACTGGTGTGAGGGAAATGAGAACTGAGAAGAGTTTTAAGCTCAGTAAAGTGTGTCTTCAAATGGCATAAGTCTTTACATGCTTAATCCCTTGAAAACAATGGGAGTTTGAAGATGGTATTTGTGATTTTGGGGGAAACTGCTTTGGTGTCTCTCTGCATCTAAAAATATAAAAAATCTGGCCATAGGTGTATAGCACTAAAGCAAACATTGCTTGCTTCAGTGAAGTCTCATGTGGTGAAACTTCAATCACAGCATTGATGTTTTCATCCTATCTCAGCTTCATTGCTGGAAATGGCTTGGCTTTCCTCCAACAGGGCTTTGCTGAGAAATGCCTGAGCAGATACCACATTCCTGAAGATGTATAGTTTATCTTTTGATAACAATAGACACCTGATGAGAAATAATAAATTCAAGACCTCTGAATATTTTAATCTGTGTGGATGGCTCAGAGGAATCAAAGAGCCCTTCCTCACTTGTGTCGCCAGGGTTATGCCTACACGGAACTCCTTTGCCCCTTCATGTGGCTAAATCCTTCTGCATCCAAAATTTCTCTGAGATTCCCTTATCATTTTGCCCACAGCTGCTCAGCTTTTGCAGAGCAGACTGGCACACTGCAGCAGACAGAGCTGTACCCCATCTGTACAGCTGTGCAAATACAGCCCACCTTCCCTTCGTGTGTCTCCAGCCCAGTTTCTGTGTGAGCTGTTTGCTGCATGACCAGCTTTGGGAACTTCTTTTTCTTTCCCTGCTGCCATGTTTCCAAGCGTCATGTGCTGCTACGTACTGGCTGGGCTGAAATAGCTATTTGTATGTTACTCTGCTCTCATATTCCTGACCTCGGAAGGGTACAGAAGTACAGGCCTTCCATGCACCTCTTCTTCCTGCATGAACATGGGAGGCAGATGAAAACTGCTTTAATTCAGGGAAGGGTTTAGCCTCTCCAGCCATTCCCCGCTGTGGATAGTTAAAATGATGACTGTATTATCAAGAGCTAATGAGTTCAGACATGTTCCTAACGTAAGAAATGGGAGCGTGAGGGCAGCCCGGTGTGTGCCCAAACCCTCTCTTCAAACCTGTCGGCTACTGTGAGAGACATGCACCGGGTTACGGCTTTCAAGCACCTTTTACTTTATAACAAAAAAATGAGTGCGAGGGATTGTTTTATGTTTGTTTGATTGTTTGTTTGTTTGTTTAAAACACATTCTATCTCTTGGAGTCTATTACCCCTGTGAAACGCTCT